AATGCTTATGAGGCTGTAAAGTACCTGGTACGGCAAACAGGCATTTACAATTATGCCGGTCCTAAAAAGCTGGATTGTGTACTGTTCCCAAATCCGGGCAATGGTAGCTTCACCCTCGATTATACCGGTCAGAAAAACGAGACTATTCTTGTGGAGATCTATAGCATGATGGGCGGGCTTGCCGCTAAGGAACAATGGACGGTGAATAGCGGGCATAATACCAGGAACCTGGACCTTACCACACTTGCCCAGGGCAATTACCTGGTGAAGGTAACAGGTACCGAAGGCGCAGTGACCATTAAAACAACGATCAAGTAAAATCCTATCATACATCATAAAAGCAGCAGACCGCATCTACCCGATGCGGTCTGCTGCTTTTTAACAACGGGTACAGGAATGCGATAACAGTGCGCGGGCAATCCTATTTTTGCGGAAACAACTCATATGGAACGGCAGATTATTCCTACGGCAGATGGCTCTCCGACCATTTCACTAACAGACTCCGGTATCACCTATCATTCTACCCACGGGGCCGTTCAGGAATCACTTCATATCTATATCCGTGCCGGGCTGGATGCAGCCTTCAGGCAATTTAAGGATACGGAAATACATCTTTTTGAAATGGGGCTTGGCACCGGCCTGAATGCTTACCTATCGGCCCTTGCGGCGGAAGAGCAGCAACGCAAAATCAGATATACTGCGGTCGAGCAGTTTCCCTTATTGCCAGAAGAGAGCAGCCGGCTGAATTACGCTAACTCTCCAAAAGAACAACAACTATTCACAGCTATTCATCAGCAACGCTGGGAACAGGACATTAAACTTTCGGAATACTTTATACTTCGGAAGGAGCAGCGCGACTTGCTGGCAACACAGCTTCCCCAACAGTTCCACCTGATCTACTATGACGCTTTTTCCCCTGGGCATCAACCGGAGCTATGGACACAAGCCGCGTTCGAACAGCTTTATGCATCCTTACTGCCCGGCGGCATGCTGCTAACCTATTGTTCCAAAAGTGTGGTTCGCCATGCGATGATCGCCGCGGGGTTCCTGGTAAAGAAACTACCCGGGCCGCATGGGAAAAGAGATATCCTCAGCGCCATGAAAAGCAAGGATGAAACAACTGCGGCCTAATCGATCTGGTACACCGTATTGTGCTTGATCTCCGTCATTACAAACACGCTGTGAACAGTAGCTATATTCTCAATAGCAGCCAGTTTATTCGTAAGAAAATCCTGGTATTCATGCATGTCTTTTACGACCACCTTTAACAGGTAATCGTACGTGCCTGCCACGTGGTGACATTCCATCACTTCCCGGATATCCAGCATCGCCGCCTCAAACTTTTTCAGCAGCGGCAGCGAATGTAACTGAAGCGTTACATTACAAAAAGCAGCCAGCATCTTCCCGATCTTATCCCGGTGCAACAGGGTGACCGATTTTTTAATTACCCCCGACTTTTCAATCTTTTTCAGGCGCTCATAAGTAGGCGTGACGCTCAGCCCTACCTTACCAGCTATCTCCTTTGTATTCAGGCGTGCATCTTCCTGCAATACCTGCAAAATGCGTTTGTCCACATTATCAAGTGATTCCATGCC